ATAGACACATGTTAAGTATTTGTGGTTCCTTAGACTTAGCAGTTTCCCACTTTCTTGCCTTGGTCCACTTGGAGCGCTTCTTTCTATTGTCTGTCTGGCATCTTTTTGAGACCCACGTTCAAGTCACTGCCTTTTTTTTGGGGGGGGCTTCTCTTAAGTCCCTTGAGCAAAAGTAATTGTTGCTTTATCTCTAGTCCTGGAACTCTTCATCAGGCTGCAGTTACAGCTCTTGGCACGCTGTACAGAAGTTAGAGGTTTCTGTCTGTGCCTCTCTTTACCCGTTTTCCTTGAGAGCAGAGATTGGCCTAGTCACGCTCACCTTTCTATGCTGCCACATAGTAATTGCACATCACAAATCCTGGTTAAATTGAACACAACTGCCCCAATTCTGACGACAAGTTAGAGGTAGAGTCTGACTAGAACTCAGACCTTCTGATACCCTGTGACATTACTTACAATTGTGTCTGGCTGTGAGCAACCCTGAATGTGCTATGTGGTAGGTTATCATTTTTTTTTAAATTTATTTTTTGTTTATTAGTACAACTAGAGATTGGTAATTGTTAGGTCTGAAGTGCCATAAATCACTTGAGATTCTAATGCCATAAAGCTGAGAGTGGGTAAAACTGATCCCATGCTGATCATTCTTCCTCTGTCCTTCCAGGTCCATTCCTCAAACTTCTCTGCCCTGCTCTGTGCCCCAGGAGACTGACCTCTGTGGACTGCTAGAAAACAAGAGAGCACATTGGTAATGGCAGTCAGCATCTCAGGGCACAGAGCAACACAGCAGGTCTCTCTTCCCTTGCTCCTGGCTTCCTGTTGGGTAGCAGATGGGAGGCACAACAGAAAGCAGAAAGGGAGAAGAGAGATCAGGCTACTGATCTCCGTGTCCCCCTCGTCCTGCACTGGCTACTGATCTTGTGTCCCCCTCGTCCTGCACTGGCTACTGATCCCCGTGTCCCCCTCGTCCTGCACTGGCTACTGATCCCCGTGGACCCCTCCTCCTGCACTNCTGGCTACTGATCCCCGTGTCCCCCTCCTCCTGCACTGGCTACTGATCCCCGTGTCCCCCTGGTCCTGCACTGGCTACTGATCCTCGTGGCCCCCTCGTCCGGCACTGGCTACTGATCCCCGTGTCCCCCTCCTCCTGTACTGGCTACTGATCCCTTTGTCCCCTCGTCCTGCACTGGCTACTGATCCCCTTGTCCCCTCCTCCTGCACTGTGGTTTGGCAATAGGTTTTTATGTCTGCCAAGGGGGCCCCTCTTCCATGGCTCCAGCTTTTGTAACTCCATCCCCTGGCCCCTTTGCACCTGGTGATGGTATTGGCCATCCTGCTTTTTAATCCCTAGGGACCTTACTATCCTTGTTGGTTCCTTTAACCCCACCCTCACCTCTGTAAAGTGTCCCTTCACTAA